AGCTACATCCTGCCTGTAAGGACACTTCATCTGCTCTCTGAGAGACGGGTTTATGGCAAACAGAAAAAGAAATGCAAAAGGTCCGGTACCAACAGCTGCTTCTAAAAAAGGACCTCCAAGGAACTGCTCAGAACAATCCCAGATTTCCTCTGACAAAATCTCCCTAGAAATAATGCGAGACTGGATGGAGAAGCCAAAAGGCGTCACACACGGAAAGAAGTTTCTCCTGAACTTTCCCTAAGGACTTTTCCAGCTTGAAGATGGAAAACTGGATTATAAACTCTCTTCATATGAGATCATGAAGAGAGAAGGAACTGCCAATTCAGCAAAACGAGATTTTAAAGATGTGCTTGCCCTCCTGTGATGGGTGAAGAGTAGAAAACCCAACATGTGTTAGCCAAATGGAGTAGTAAGGGCCCCATGGGAGACTACAGCTCAGCCAATGGCCTTAAATCCAAATATTTGTCCCGGATGTCCTGTCTTGGTCTTTATGGTTCGTGGCAGCAAATGCAAAAACAGGTTTGAGCATTGTGTTTATTTGTGGAATTCACTGGATACTAACTTAGAGGAACATTAAGTAATAAATTTCAGTGCACAATAAAAGGGAATGAAATTGTGAATAAAAGTTTTGCCTATAACCAAGACTTGCCTGGTTGTTCAAAGAAAGTTTCACAATACCTAAAAGCAGAATTTGACAGTAAGAACGACCAGCCAAGAAGAATAAACACACGTGGCATTCACTTTTATATTCAGTGCAATGTGAAACTGTATGCGCCGGCTGAGAGAAAAGAAGGTAGGCAGAAATTAAGTACTATTTTTAACTTTAAAAATAAGAACATCTTCATTTCAGTCATCTGTGAGTCCAGCAGTGAGCATAACTTCCTGGAAGAATAGTTTGTATTTCGGTTCAGCCATATAATGCCGTAACAGCCACTTAAAAATGGTTGCTGTGCACTTTGTTAGCTGCGGCACAAGGGACCCAAATCTTTAAAATTAGAGTACTGGCTCTGTTGCAAATACCGCGGCTATGTAAATTCATTTAAGCAATCCTAGTGGTATGTACTTCAGTGAAAGCTAAAGTACAGCTCCAAATTTTCAGTGAATTGCTGACAAAATATTTTTTCTATAGCCCAGCCAGAGAGGCATCCAAACCTTAACTTCATCTTCAAAAGAAAAGCTACAGAAATCTTTTTATACACTTTTACCTGACTATATCTCACACAAACTGTTCCGTTTCAGAAAGTAACTTAGTTCTTTGCTGAGGAAAAGAAAAAAAGTGCTTTAGTAATGAACCAAGAATTAGTTCTAACCAGGAAGATGATATGCAGTGATAAAAATTGAAACCAAAGCAAGAGCTTTGGACACCAGAGGCCGAACATTCTAAACATATCCTCAAAGCCGCAATAACTGTTTCTTTCCCACACGTAATTGCAGAAAATGGCAATTCATTTGATATCAAAAAATGTTTTAGAAATAGAAGGCTCTAATGAAAGAACAACTATTATCAGCATAAGGCAAGCCTACACAATTTCAAAAGCTGACCTATAGCGACAGCATTACTACATTTCAGTACTAACACTGACTCGAGAACAAAGCTTAGCTTTTCACTTATCGTTGTCAAAAAAATAATCTTCAGCTTTCATTAGCCAAAGTAAATAACATCACTTCTATCAAAATAAGAAACCCCTTTTACTGTTCAGCTTTTCTCTTCACAGAGAAGTACGTGTTAGGAAGCCATTTCTGGACACTGCCTTGTCTGTATGATCAAAGGAACAGAGCAGCACTTTACACTAGTAAATGGAGAGCGGTGAAAAGTTCACAACCTTCCTACAGAAAATCAATGCAACGTGGCTGGCATCAGTAGAACTTTGCCCTGAATTCAGAGAACCAGCAGAGGAAAGTGCTCAAGCAGGCAGGACACAAGAAAGTCAGCACAAGTGCTGTCCAGCTTGCTGCCTGATGCTCAACAACAGGAAAAAGGAAAGAAAGCAAGCAAGCAACAGAAGGTACCATCGTTACCATATGTGATTATATCCATCCACATTTATCTCACAGTAAAACAATTAGTGGCAATAAAAGAAACAGCCTTTCAGACTCCAGACCACCCTCAACAAAGCAATTCTAATGTTCTAGGGGATGGGGAGTAGGGGTGTGGTGTGTGGGGAAGGAAAGAGGAAACTTTTTGGACCAAGAGGTTCAGCTGTGTGACGTCACATGTAATACTCAAACATTCTTACAGTACATGCTTTACAAATGGAAAAATGATAGAAAAATGCAAGGAAGAATCCAAGATACGAGCTGCAGGTAACTTGGGAAAATGTAGTCAGTTATTCATAGGATTAAGTGAACGCCCTCTGTAATTAAAGCTAAACTAATAAAAGTTTGCTGCCTGTGAAATACATGCTGCAGTATTACTGCCAAGATAACAGTAAGAAAAAAACCCTCTTGATAATTTGGAAAAAAAAAAAAGGCAAGACTTTACGATGATTGTTCTACTTATAAAAAGACTAACTTCGTAGGCTCTTCCAAACCTTCCACTCCACAGAAATACCACGCAGTACAGACTCACAAGATTCATGGATGGGCTCAGACACACTAGACCTATGCCTACCAGGCAGAGGGGAGGAAAGAAAAAAAAAACACCACACCACAAAATCATGTTTAAATCAGTGTTTATGGTACCATAAGGAATGGTACATGCTGGCAGATTTCCACTGAAAATAGGTAAAATAAGCCTCTTACACCAACCTGGGGTTTTTAATAAATAAAAAAGGACATGAAAATGTTACTTTCATACCTCCCTCTCCACAGCAAGTAGACCAAAGATACTTCATGTATTCTAATACATAAATATCATCGTTTCTTTCAGGATGGAAATCTTTTTTTTTTTTAATAATTCTTTTTTTAAAATCTAGCATGAAGAACGAACGTATTTTGCCATTTAAATTACACTCAGCCATGACAAATATTATCTCACAATAGGAACAAGTGAACACAAGGGAGAACCAGAGAGCAAGTGTGGTTCTTGAGATGGGAGATATAAGAAATGCAGTATTAGAAAAACAAATAAAGTGAGGATCAAGAAATACGATTTTCAGGAATCACAAAAACTTGGTAGAGCTACAAAGAGACAGAAAAGTCAGCCCCTTTCTACCAAGGAATTCTCCCTTTCACTTTCAAGGTGATGCTATTTGAATTCAACTCAATGCTTAATACTGCCCTGCAGCAATACACTTCTTGGTTTAGATTTTGCACTTGTGAATGCACTTTATCTGTATTGACTTAAAACAGTGCCAACAACAAAGATTCACATTTATAGTTCAGTTCAAGATGACTGTACAAAATGCCAAGAGATGTATACTACAAACTCATTATTTTTTCTTTCAGTTGGGAAAACTGATATTGAGACTTAATCAACTAACGTCAAAGCACTCTGAAAGAAAACCAAATGTATTCTTTTCTTAGTGTCTGGAAGATACTGCAATGGGTTTTTTATATTCCCTGTATGAGGAACTCCGCATTCTGACAAGCATTAGAGGGAAACATTCTGCAACTGCCTTATGGCAGGACTACGATTACTCTTTTCTACTCATCTCTTTTCCTTCATCATTGTCTTAATCCTTGCACAGAAGGTTGCCCATTTTTAATCTCAAGATTACTCTGAAGAGAGACCATTTCCCACCCACATCAAACATCCTTAGCGGAGGTAAGACATTTTCATCGTAACATCAACAGAATGCACTTCCAACTAGAAAGATCAGGAAAACGGATACCTTGGCATTTATTTTGATGCTGCATTTACTCTGCAATTGCATTCAAAATATAAATTTAACACCTTGACAACCTCTTCCAGTTCTCCCTGGCTTCCATATCTCAGTCAGAATACATTTCAGCATATCTTCAATACATCAAGAAAACCAAGGAAAATCAAGATAATCATTTTAAAAGCAATCCTTCACACGTGTTTATATTGACAGATGCCAAAACTAAAGATTCAGTTTGTCACTTTTGAAACAGAAGTCCAGTCATCTAACCTTGAAACTTTGTTTGCTTTCTGAAAACTATTTATGCCTTAAGCAAATCGACCTGGTTATGAAAAAAGCCCAGCAACAAACAAGTTTTCAAGTAATTTTTTCAGTACAAGAGCAAATTATTAAAAGACATTTGCGGTGCATTCAACCATTTTAACTCTGTTCAGAGGCTTTCCAAATAACTAGTAAAACCCAACAATTCTTCCTAATTACATTTTGAATTTAAACATGATCTTCACAAGAATACTACAAAAACATACAAACTATCTTTCCCCCCACCCCCTGGAATGCATCATATAACAATTAACTGAACATGTATCCTTGCTGATGCAGGGCAGAATGTTTCTCAAGTACAGAACTGACAGCAATATTTACCAGAATAGTCACTGGCAAAACATGTAAAAGCTCAATGGAATAAGACCACTGATTAGGTCCTCTTGAAGTATCAAAACGAAACATGTAAGATTCACAAACAAAATGTCTCTCCTGTTTGGTATAAAAATGACTGCATGTTTTACTAGACAACAGGTCTCTTAAAAAAAAAAAAGGAAAAAAAATCCCACCTTCTATGTCGTACTCAGAATCATTAATGATACAAGTCTTCCTGGCATGACCCAGTAACCAAAGTCTATAAAACTATATTTTACATTAACTTCATTTTAAAAATCTCCACAAATCAACAAACAAGTATAAATTGGTTCACATTTTAGAACCCTGTTTCACTAAACAAGAAAAAGACCATGATTTTAAAATTCCTGTCTACATCCTCAACAAAAGTGTAGTCTTATTTTAACAGAAATCAAAACAGTGACAGTATCATGAAAATTACCTCTATACCAAATCACTAATTTCTCAATAGATCTTCATTTACTATTTAGCAGTGTCACAAATTTAAATGTTTTAATACAGAGCTTTACACTAGAAAAACACCTAATTAAGAGGGTGAAAAAAACCCCAAAAGATACATACGACCATTCAGAATCCAACCGCTCTTCATAGACTTTCAGGACACGAACAGCCACAGTCAAGTTCCCAGGATCCAGTAGTTCTCTCACTTTGTCTGAATTGAGGCATGTGAACAGGACCATACAACAATAGGCAACAATTTTCTCATCACTGTATGTTAGACACGTCCTTCAATAGAAAATAAGGAGTTAAAACTGACCCTGGAAAAACAGACTAGTGACATTCAGCTCACTGAATTGTTCTTCTCGCAGATAAATTCCCTAAGCTGTCTCTTCGAGAATCGTGAATTTGTCATTGCTTAAGAGGGATAGAAATCATCTGCAAAGAAAAACATCTAACTCCTAGCTAAAGGTCAAACTTAACTGGCAATTCACAAAACTAATGCTAAACTGGATAACTGAAGATCTAGAAATTGGGTGAAGCCATAATAATCATCTGCCTCTAGTATCATAAGATCCCTCTATACTGAATGCTGACAAGTGGGCTCCAAAAACACACTCAGAATTATTATCGCATTGAACGAATGTGCCTTTTGCTACAAGCTCACTACAAAAATATTGGCCAAACACATCAACAATATTGTCGTGTCTTCAAAAAATCATTTATTTAATATTTCATTATACGTGTGTCATCAAACCTGCAGGAAGATATCATGGTGAGGTTAGGAGGGGTGCAAAACCATTGGAAGACACTAAGATTAAGTCACTTGTGTAGATTCCATCTGATCGACAAATACGGACAGGTCTGCACAGAAGCAAAGTGCATAAAGAAAAAGCTGTGTTCTTGGAAATGGGTATAACTACTTGAAAACACCTCTTAAATAAAGCTTATGTTTGAACCTCGTAATCTGAAATAGAGTTTTCTTCCAGTTTCTGTTAAAAACAATTTACTGTCAGTTTAGAACAAGCAGGTTTTGAAGGTCCTGACCCCTGTGGTTGACTAACAAAAAAAAAAAACCACCTACAGGATATGGTCTCAACCATCCCATTCTCAAAGTTATTTTTCAAAGCTTCATGGTGCTAGTAGAGCACAACTACCATGTACAAAAAAGATTCGAATACAACCACAAAAATTGCATTAGAAAAAAAACCCTCATCCATGCTTACAAGAAGAGATCTGGGAAAGCACACTTCCAAATGCTATTCTGGGAATCTCCATTTCCTGCTGCAACGTTTCCAAGAAACTGGAGACTACAACGAAGCGCTGAAAAAAAACCCAGAAAACATATTAACAGGAGTTCAGAGGAACGCTAATAAACTTCATATAAATGACAAACTTCAACATTACAGCTATACACTACAGAATCCTTCTCTAACTAAGCTTTGGATGCACTATTTCACTGCTACTGTACATAAATACTTTCATTTTCTCTTCCAGTGCAAAACATTTTACAAAGCACTCTAGAATTACACCCAAAACAAATCTTTTTTTTTTTTTTTTTTTCCCCTCAGTTAGACTTACATGAAAATCAAACAATGGTTACTAGTGTTACAAAACCTAAATGGCTCGGTCAAGTTTTAAGCAATGAAAGCTTGGAGCTACAGTTAGCATAAGCTGAAGCAGACCCATCCTGAACCAGTGGCTGCCACATGCCAGTGGCCATTTTGCCTCCTCTGGAGCTGAGGTGGCTTTGTTCCTCACATTAAATGAACACAAATAGGCTGCCTATCATCACCTGCACTCTGCAAGAGCACCTCTACCACTGCTAAGAGAGGTCCCCAGGCACCCTCCCTAAGCTGGCCAGGAGGCTTGAAAATTTTATTGCAGAAGGTAGAACTAGGGCAAGAGAACTGAATCTGTTCCCTCAATACCCACATGAAATTCTATTTTACTGGACAAATCATTATACAATATGATGCTCAATACTTTCTGATTTCTGTCCCAGAAAAATTAAAGGCAGTACTCCAAGCAACTTTGCCTCCAATTTTAACACTGAATGTAATATGGCAGATTTCTACTATTACTACAAAGGATTTATTGAAGCCTCTGCTCAATACAGACTTAAAATAATGGGAAGATGGTATTTCATCATACAAGGTAATAACCTGGAGCCTGCCAAAAGGTGTAAATTCATGAAAAACAAAAGCCTGAACCCACACACCTCACAACATTAAAACACTCTTTTTGGCCCTATTGACAGCTCTCAATAGCCTGGCCCTTATTAGTAGGTTGGAAAAGAAACTTAAACATTAAAATGCAGTTTCACAGATATTACAAACAGCGGCTTATTACAGATGAAGGTGCTTGATACTGCCAGGTTCTAAAAATATAAAATGAGGTCTCTCTAAAAGCCACTGTGCCAGCTGGCACCCAGATTTCCTACAGAGATCTGGGCATATGTCCTCTTGGGAACAAAATAGAAAGCAAGTCTAAATTGAGGTCACTTGGGCTTAGGGAATAGTAACCTTTTTTTCTCCCCGTACATTTTTAAAGCCCAAAATATCTTTCTGTCCTGTCCATAATGCATTTTGAATCATCTTTTCCTTTATGCTTTAGAGAAGCATAAAGTCCCTGTTCTCCCTCCCTTCACATATGCACTTTTTTATTATTTTCTGCCCACCCATTATGCATCCACTTCTCCCATCTATCTGGTTCTCCATCCTGCTGACTCAGAATTTTTCTAAAGGACAGCAAGCATGGGCATGCTACTTTTCTAGCAGACACGTTATGGAAATACTTCCCTGCTAGAAAAAAAGAACACCACAGTAAATCCTAGAAATAGGGTATTCCTTCTCTTAGTGAACTCCTTACCTACTCAACCATGAGAAAGATCTCTCTGAGCCATGAGGTTGTTTGACGTTTGTTATACTTCAACCTTTACCTGAAATTTGCTTGACCCTTTTCAGCTATCAATTACACTTTGGTCTTTTGAGACTAAGCAGTCATTTTTCTTTAATTTGGGGACACAAATCAATATATGGTCAAGCAGATAATTGGCAACTGAAACAACTGTTTCTATTCACAACAAAGCAGGAAAAGAGGATGTCTTGATAATGCAACATATCCCCATGCAAGTGACCTTGTGATGAAATTCAGCAATTCAAACAAAAGACATGATTCTACAAACACCTGAGGTGATTCAGCTATGCCAGGAGTATGGATTACACACAACGGGACCTAGGCACACAATCCTGGCACTCCAACCAATTCATGTGCTGTGACAACTACACTGCAACCGCTGCACTGCTTCTGAACTCTTTTTCCATAAAACAAAGTAATTTATATTAGAGAAAGAGAATTAATTTCAGAGTATTAGTGTGATCGTTGGGCCAAGTCAATAACGTGCCAAACATGGTTAGTTTACTAGAGGGTGATTATGTTTTGGCTTCTATGATCATGTATTTACTTTGAAGAAACTGGATCTGCTGGGAGCTGATGAGATTCACCTGACCAAGTGGGACAAGAGGGTCTTCACCAACAAGCTAGACAGACTTATATGGACAAACCCCGCCTGGAGTACTGGATCCAACTCTTGGATCCCCAGTACAAGAACAACATGGACCTGTTAGAGGCAGTCCAGAGTAGACCACAAAAATCAAAGGGCTGGAGCACCTCCCCTATGAAGAAAAGTCTGAGACAGTTGGGCTTGTTCATCCTGGAGAAGAGAAGGCTCCAGGGAGACCACATATAACGATGAGACACTGGCACAGGTTGCCCAGAGAAGCTGTGGATGTCTCATCCCTGGAAGTGTCCAAGGCCAGGCTGGATGAGGCTTTGAGCAACCTGGTCTAATGGAAGGTGTCCCTGCCCATGGCAGGGGGGTTGGACCTGGCAGGTCCCTTCCAGCCCAAATTATTCTATGATTCTATGTGTCATGTCCAGCAGAGATGGAAAGCCAATGATGAAGAGGAGCAAACAACATTAAAAGTCATTACAGCACTACAATTAGAGTAGCTCATCACAGCTCGTTCTCTGAATCACATCACAGTAGTATTTGCATGATTATGTTTAAAATAAAACCCCAAACAACTCCCCCTGCCCCCATAAACCTCATCGTGCACCTGGTGTGTGGTCTCGGAGCATGCTAATGCCTGATATACAATGTTTCTCTCCAAAGATGATTCCAGATAAAGTGTGCTAGCCTATCACCAAGCTACCAACTGACAGTGAATTTTTACATGAGCACTGGAAATCCACATTTTGATATTTATGCTTTAAAAAGAGAAACACCCCAAAAAAATCCAACTAGAGCTGTTCATCTACAGGAAGGTATGCATGTGTTTTATTGTAGCATTTGCACTTTTGAAGTGAAGCACCGCATTCCCAACTATGGAAGTCTCTTCCTAGCATTTAATTTCCATGTTTTTCTTTTTTGTTTTACCTCAGTTGGACTTGAGTGCTGCAACATATGATTCAACTATGCTTAGAAGTCTGTAAATACAGATACTGCTTTTCTCCTCTCAAATTTTGTTGTCCTTACAGCAAAAGCAAGAAAACCTAGAAGCCAATTAAGGCATACTTCATTACACAGTATACCAGCTGACACCGTTTTGCCATCCATTCAGTAAATCACACAGTTTATGAAAAGCAGAAGGAAAGAAACAAAAAGAAAGGGAAGACAAAATGACTATTTCACCTTTTCCCTGAAAAGGTGCAGATCTTTATAAAGCTAAAAATAATTGTCAACCACTCTTTTTGGGAAACAAAATTATAAAAAAGTATGTCTTTTCTATAGGACTGATTTATTTAACATCTTAAATCGACTCCCTAGCTGCTGGTGTCTATGAGCACTAACAAATAATTCTGTAGCTATCAGCACAACGAAGTTTTACTTTTAAAAAAATGTTATACTGTGTGTGGTCAAACAAACCTATTTTTAACCTGATGGTCAACCACTGTGAAATCACACGTACTGAGATGTAATTCTGATACACAGATCAACCCTAGAGCTGAAGACATTTTTCCCTCCATTGAAATTTAAACGGTTGCTATAAATGCAGGATGTTCTTTAGCAAATGCAAATCCTCAGATTACATCTTGCTTTCACAACCAGCCTGCAACAGGTTATGGAGAATTTTCTAGGTTCTACAAATATAACCTCTTTATATAATAGGGCAACATGTACAAGGGGAAACATGACTCTTCTCAATGAATTTTGGTAGCTAGACTCAGTTGACATGTAAACCGATCTTTTAGAGTGGCTTGATGCCACCCATGCAAAAGGTGAGGCAGTTGATACTACTTTATGGCACTGCATGAGGATGGCTTAAACGCATTCCAGCAGTGCAGTACCTTGAAGATCACAGCTTCATTTGCTTCTTTAATCTCTTATGATCACATTAACTGAATCAAGCTCTAATGCACACTTTTCATTTAACAATTATATCGTAGACTACCCAGATGGTCTGAAGGACACACATGAATGTTTCAGAGGCCTGACCCTGTGTTTTGCTCCTCATGAAGAAATAATTTCACAGTGTCATTTAGATTGTGTATTAGATGAAAACTTAAATCCCTGAAGTTACTAGGACAAAGATTTTAAGCATTATGATTTTAAAACACAATACGTTTTGCCTTCTGTTTCACATGATTAGGTGATAACATTTCCAAAAAACTGAGTAAAGTTCCCGTAGTAAAGTTGGAAGAGCTTATTGCTGTTAAGCCTCTATCAACATGAGTAACTGCAATTTTTCCCCACCAGTATCTTTCTTGATTACATTGCTACATTTTGCTGTAGTGTACATTATTTAAATATTTTTATTCATACACATTTTTATGTCTTCCTTCCAGAAAATAATCAGCCTTATCTTTCAGATTCCTCCTACAGTTTCTCAAGCCATGAACAGGAGCCTGTGAATTTGCTCACCAATCACCTTGAAAAACCTTGACCTCAGCTGCAGAGGCTTACAACAGTCCTAAGAAGAGATTTCCTTTCTTTTTATTTGGGGCAGACAGCACAGAGATAGTTCTAAGTACAATCCTTTGCATATATCGGAGTTATTTAGAGATACAAAATAAATCCAATCCAACGTATGAAGCTGTACAACACCTCTTTTCAGATGGTAAACATAAGACTAGCCAACTTGCATGTCTCTAATGCTTAGCTGTACCTATGCATGAAAGATACAGCTGGTGTGCCCACTGTGCACTGGTGGCATGCACCAGGGTTTACAACTACTTTGACCAAATCACAGCCTCCTGACAGCCTGTATGACTTTTAGAGTTGCCTGTGTGCTTTGTAAATCTAAACTGCGGACTGCAAA